GCGATTTTTCGTCCTGCTTACGCAACGACCAGCTTTCCAACGCGCATATTAAGGCACGAAGAATCGTTGACTAAAAGTATGGGTAAAAATATTTTTCAAAACCATGGAGGAGATAAATATGCGAACTATTTACTAGTATTCCCAACATGTGGGAATAGATCGTCACCTGTGTTGACAAACAGCTTTGTCTGATTGTAAGTCCCGATCACTTCACGAATTGGTAATAAGCGATACGTCGTGATATCCCTCCTGTCTTTTGTTTTGACTGCCCATCGTAAATTAAGGAACCACAAAGCACTGCTAAATGTCACCACTCACCACAAGTTTGCTAGTCATAATCAGTTCATCTTCCTCATCCTCCTATTCGGTGTTTTCAACAACAGGTGCGGAAGACTCCATATTGTAGATGTTTGTAGAAAAGAGGTTTAATCCGCTCATTGGTCTAATCCGTTCACTGTGCATGTCCGAATTCGACTACGATCTCGAGGATTCGACGATTTTACAACGGCAGACCACTAATTTAGTGGTAAATCTTCATGAGATCTATCAACACAGCGTCTCTTTTTGTTTTATTTCTTTAAGAGACTCTTTTTAGTGGTGTGAAGGCGAAGTGAGACTACAAAATGTAAAGTAGTTATTAATTTCTTCTAGTGAAAATTGTTGCTCATTTGTCAAGTTCGGTCTTTAGGTGAAAGTTCTTTTTCCGTATTTCTATTAAAATTTCCTATATTGTTCATATCTTTTTCCTCAAACTTCTATGTCTTCACAAATGTGTGGCGCAGCGGTTGGAGGCGCTCTGCGACACACGCATGGAATCGATCTCCACGCCCTTAGCCCACCAAGCCCTCCATCCCTCCGGGGTCGACAAATTGGGACCAGAATTGTCTGGGAGGATAGCAGCATTGGCTCGATACATCGGTAGGCAACCGCGAGTCATTGTAAAGGTCAGATATGCATTCATTCACCTCCAACGATACTTAATGAAATCGAATGCATGGCACATTCCTCAGGGATTGTTCAATGTCGAGAGCTCTTATTTCATTTTATTTTTGTTTTGTTTGTTCTTTTGTTTTGGTATTAAATTACAGAGGGAAACCTAGGTTTTCGCTTGAGTATTCATCATATTAGAAGACACTAGGCTTATATCATTCTTGGTTTAGCTTGGTCTTAGCTTAAATTGAAATCTCACTCTGTTCACCATATTCTAATAGCTCGATCGCTCTATTTAAACTTTATTCATTTGCACTTCTTTTCTAAATAAGGTTATTCTTAACTAGTAATAAACTTTTAAAGAGATGAATGGCAAATGTGCTGGAGTCCGCACAAACCGTGAAGACGAACCGTCCAAGTATCCAAGTAGTAGTAGTAGTAAACTCCAGTTGCGGAAAAACCGTGTGCACTCAGCTTTATGCTGTCGAAGATTGTTGGTTTTATTAGTGAAGTAGGTGTCCGACTTGATAAAGATGAACGTTTGTGTAATTGTTAATGTATGTGACGTTCTCGTTTCTTGCTCACTGTTGGAAATTCTCTCAGAAATCCCTTCATTGTCGGATAGAAAACGACAAAGTTATCTATCTATAAAGGCTACGTACTCGACTGAACTATTCGTAAGCTTTAAGCCGGGGACAATTCAAATAACTTGTTATTGCATGAGTTGATTTCAACGCGAACGTGATCGTAAATCCGTCATTGTTTCATTGGCGCTTCAACTCTAAGCAAGGTTATCCTTAACTAATAGCAAGCTTTAACTGCGTGAAAATCATATGTATTCTTAGATCGAGGTGGAAGTCTCTTCTATAAGTTTACTGAATCCTCATGTCCTAAAGCACATCGAATTTTACTTGCTGTTACCGAGAAACCAGCATCGTTATGAATGTGTTAGACGATTGGCGTGACATATAGTCATGTGAAAAAAGTACTTGGAGAAATACCACTACTGATACCTCTTCGAGTTCGTTACCTTAGAATTACTGTTACTATTTTTAGCTCAGAAAGTGCAAACCACACGAGAACCGAAATATAAGTGAGATAAAAGTCACTTTTTTGAAAGGATACTTATTATTTGAATTTATGGAACTGAAGGATTTATAACTTATGAGGTGGATAGACTATTGATACTCACAGCCGATGAAACCCGAGTATAAATGGTTGGAACGTTCACACACTGTACTTAAAAGTCAAAATATTTCGTGATAGTGAATCCCAGCTAAATCTGTCCTCTTTGTTTTCAACATTCTATTTTCATCCTTCTATTTCGCCTACGATGCGCAAAGATTTTGAACAATAATGTAAATTAGAAAGCGTATAAGCGCAGTGGTTAGACGTGCATTGAAATACGCAAGCGGTCTTTGGTTCGATTCCGCACCAAAGGTAAAACGTCCCTTCTTTAGGATTGCTGAGATATAAGCAAGAGTCATAACCTCATCTGGGCTTCGAATCCGCGATACGTTTAGCGAGGGCTTATGCGCTATCCACCACACCGACCGTGGTCCTTGCTTTCCCTTTCTCTTAATCTTTTCTGTCTATAGTCCATCAATGCAGTGAGTCAGTAAGCATACGTCAACAGGACTGATCTAGGGAGCACAAATCGGCATTAAACTCAGTTCAACTGAAACTGCAGCAAATTATAAGCAGAGTTGTCTGGTGCGATAACAACGCCAGCTTTATGATTCCGAAGCCCAACTTTCTATTAACCTCGACATTCATCACTGGTTCGCTGCTTCCTTGATAAGCACACACGAGGCTGGTACTTTATTCTTTATTGACAAAAAAGCGTTATGCTTTGATAGGCCTCGCAAGCCGTTCCATAGGCGAAACATTACCCATTCAATTATCTCTACGATGCTTAATGGAATAGAATGCGTGGCGTAAGGCGATTATCGACATCAAACGCATTGTCCTTTATTCATTATCACAGACACAAGGCTGTGAATTCCATAGGACTCATACTATTTGGGTATAATAGCCACTTTGAACTTCAAGTCATCATATTTCAGTTCGTAGCAGGATTTATTCATTACATTCAAAGCTGTTTGTTAGATTTCACGAATATTTGCCTAGAGGTTAACAATTCTCTTGTTCTCTTCGATTGAGTACTTACATTCTACCTCTACCTCATGACATATATTTCTTCCACTTTATTGTTTCAAAAACCCTTGTATCGAACGTGAAAGAAGCGAACAAACGGGAATTCGTTGAGCCTCATATTGTTGTGTCCTGGTGTATCGCCAATACTTCATCTCCGTTTTTTCGGTGGGAACTTTTTAAGACTTAAACTTCGTTCTCAATTTTATGAATGTTTTAGTGTAGATCCATAAAGTAATTAACTCCTGAAATACTCTAATAGCTGAGAAATTACCATTAGCTATCGAAAACCAGCATCGTCGGGAAAGTATTAATGGATTCTTGTAATATTTTCGTCTGGTTTGAAAGCCTGACGAAACTTTGAAGAGTTTGTTTTTGTTGCAAACAATGATATCGACTTGACCAACGATGTGCCTGTGGCTATCTTAGTCACATATGTATAAAAATACGCTTTTATATCATTAAATCTATACCCATATTTAAAACTTAATAAGTAATAAAAAATGAAAGGGATGTGTCCATACGCGCTCTAGGAATTAAATATGTGAAGTAGTAAAAAATCTTTTGTATCCTACGTCCTAACACATTACAAGCAAATGCGTGGCATGCATAATTTCACTACCGTGCCCCAAACCCAAAGCGGAGTGCACTTAGCAGCTTAGTGAGCCATTTTCGCTATTCTTATGGCTGCAGGGTCGCTGGCGTCATTAGTCAAGTGTTATTTCGTTATGGTTACGACTGGATTTGTCTGAGAAAAAAAGAGACATCGAAAATCTTGGCGAGAACTGAAGGTTTCACAAAACTGTATCGTTTGAGGACATTGTGAATGTCTGAGTAACATCAATGTGACCTAATCATTAATCTCAGTAAGATATTCATTATTCTTCTTTCCGTGTTTCCATTCATGGCGTTCACTTCATTTCGTACTTGCTTTCCTTTGTCTGCTTATTGCTATCGTTGTCATCCGTTACCGCCGTCTTCATGTCAACTCGTCGGAAACAGTACTCGTCCACTGAGAGATCCCCCGTAGGATTTCCGCATAGATTTTTTTCTCTTCAACCACTCATCTCTTTAAGATATTCTCACGTGGTATTCATGAACTTTCTTCAATGATTTGTATTTCTGAGACGTTATCTTTCTATGGACTTTTTGAGTCTATGGAGGACTACCATAAATAAACTTTCTCTTTTAAAAACTTTCTCTTTTTTTAATGATATTTCCTTTTTTCCTCAAATATATTGGTTTAAATATCCCAGCTTTTTTCTTCACTTTCTGTTTTTCTGCTCTTACCATCTATTCTTCGCTTTTTTTCGATTGCTCAATTTTTTTATTATTATTTAGTGTTCGAAATTGAAGCATTCGAGCAATTCTATTCGATTCCGCTTCGGGCTAGCCCCTCATCCCTCCGGGGTCGGGAAATTGGTACCGGACTTATCTGGGGAAAAAAATCACTCTCTGAAATCCAATTGGGAACGCTTTGGCTCGGCTATCTCAGGACTCCAGGGAGAAATGCTCGACTAGCATTTTACGACATTCAAGATGAAATGAAAATCCTCAAGCAGCAACCGAAGAAGCCACACGTAAAAGTTGGAAGATCTTCGTGGACAGTAGATGCTAGGAAACGAATCGAATGTGAGAAGTGCTGAGATTTGCACAGTAATCGTGAAGATGGGTTATACAAAATACGGGAAAAAGCAAAAAAATTGAATGTTTATTTATATCATTCGATCTTCCGTCCTCAGTGAGTTGTTTTCAAAGCTCTTCGTTTTCACTTCTCTTTGCCAGAACACACGAACCAGAGGCAAAAAAGAAGTGTTCCGTCTTCATAAAGAATTATGCGCGAAAAAATCGCAGTTTCCACATTGACGCCATATTGGTTGGCTAAGATTTTCATCCGAGAAAGCCCAAGATGAAGCATGTCAGAACGTTTCCTCTTCATAACCGCTGAAGCCGTCGGTCAGTGTTCATCGGAAACCGGTTGGCTACCTTGTAATTAAGTTTTCTTCAAAGAAATGGCAATTTTTGCATTGACCTAGTCTTAACACGATTTTCTTTGAGGAAATATCGAACTTGTTTTTCGGCATTGAAAATCCCAGCGGGTTGACAAATCCACCGTTTCGACAAAAACCACCTCAATTCAATCAGTGCTTCAGCGCAGTTTCCAGCCCCTACGAATAAATAAAACCTTGAGATAAGGAAATCAGAAATAGTTTTTTATGCCAAACTGGATACATAATTCGAGGAGATCTCGTTAAAACTGTTCAGCTCCGATCTCCAGAACGCTGTGTAGAAGCTGGAATAAGAAAACGTAGCAGTGGAAGTCAATGGCTCGCAGCCACTGACTATTTTTGTTAGATAGATGATTTGCTCTCAGAACTACAAGCATTAACCAACTGGAACAGTTACTACCAGTGTGTGGAAAGATTCATGTATGTTGGAGTCTCAAAAATAAGCGCGTAAAAAACGCTGTTCGCGCTGAACAGAACGCACATGTTTGATTGCTTCAGCTCTGTCTCTCTGGGTGCAAAAGTGAACATAATGAACGACTTACATAGCTGAGTGGGAGGAAGGGCAGAGCGCTGAAAAGAAAACCAATGAAAAGATCTTCTTTGAGGTACGCCTGGTGAAATCATGGTAAGTATTTCTGTTATCTATAAGATGCACTATCGAGAAAATGATGCTAAGAGCGTTGTCCGTTGAGCGAATGAGAGATTTAATCCAGAGTATTAAGCCAAGTAAACGATCCATGATCAAACCAGTGCTGCTAGGACCGAGATATCGAGTGCTAGTCGGATATGTAACCCTATAAACGATAATCGCTAAACATGTGACGTCAGGAACTTGGCCTCATGTGATATCAGAAAAACCTGATTGTTCACGCAGACGCTTTAAAAATACGCTTCTCGAGTAACAACAGCTCTCTGAAGAATTTCAAGGTTTGATATGACAACTTGCTTGTTATATTACTTACAATCGCTCAATTCTTTCAATGGATGTTGGAAATACAGATGATGCTGCATAGTTTTGCACTGACAATAGTTTTCTGCATCACTTTTAAACGTGTCTTAGGCGTAGAGGATACGGCAGAGTTGATTAAGCTGCAAACTGGTATTTGTGCTCAGCTCCTGACGGTATTCAGTTCTCAGGTTCCGTATCACTATGTCTTTTCACTTTCAAATTGGGCGGACATTCTGTTGACGGAAAAATGCATGGCAATAGAGAGTGAGCAAATATTTTTACGATACTGTCGTGAAGTTTTCGTTACGACGATCCATAAGCCGTTTGCATACAACATTATACGACTGGGATTGCTTCTTTGTTGTTGGCACATTTTCTCTCAAAGGCGTGTGAGGTGCCAGAATTGCTTTTTTTTCTTTCCATTTAGGAATACACACCTGTGGAACGGTTTCTTATTTTACTTGTGCTTTGTTTTGTCCTATTAGTATTCTTGCCACTAACAAAAGTTGTTTAGGGAACAGCTAGATAAAGTTGATTAACGTTGAACATAATGGCTATAGTATAAAGCTCTCGGCGTTGATCAATCCCTGAGGGATGCACCATGCATTCGACTTCATTAAGCATCGTTTGGAGGTGATTGAATGCATATCTGGCCTAAACAACTTCTCGCCGTGGCCTACCGATGTATCGAACCAGTGCTACCATCCTTTCAGATAATTCTGGTACCAATTTGTCGATTCCGGATGGATGGGCCATAGGCTCGGGGATCGATTGCACGTGTCGCAGGGCGCCTCCGACCACTGCCCCACACGCGCTCCTATTGTTATATATAAATTCTAACAATTACGGATACTAATTGGGATATCGCAGGTTGAAGAAATTGGCCTTTAGGAACTAAATTTCCTCTTTAGAACAAATTCACTTTACTGACAACACCAGTGTAGACGATAGTTGCATGGGCAGTTAGATGAGACCGAATTTTTGCATGTTTCTTTTCCTGCATCTTTGTGAAAATGTTGTGAAACGGTGTCCGTCGTAGTGGATGAATCTTCAAGTGGTTAGAGTGTTTTTTGGAATAAACAGTAAAAAACAGACATGAAGCCAATATAGTAGTAGTGTTGTACCTTCCGATCGTCCTTTGGTTTGTGCGGCAAAGGAACTAATCGAATTGGATTAGTTGAAAAAAAAAATGAACGTCGGCGATTTTCTTTGACAAGAAACGTCGTCGTAGGGCCAACGATAATATGTAGATGTTTCTAGTCGTGGGAACGCGTGGTTTCTGTTCTTTAAAATATTTTTTTTGTGTTTGCTGTGAAGAAGGCAGGTTGTAAAGGCTGTAGTGTCGTATGTTGCTCTCGAATCTGCCTATGAATTTTATAGCAGTGGGAGACTATATGACGTTAATATTAAGGACGTAATCGATTTCGCTTCATTCCGGACAAAAGCGGTTGTGTACGAAAGGTTTTTTATCCCAAATGCTTTTTCATCTCAGTGCTAAAGCTTCGTAGTCGACTATCATTATGGGTTGGAGTTTCACTTGTACACAATCAATTCGCTTTGTAGTATTTCATAGGAACCAAACAAACTACAGCTTCCGATATTAGTACAAAGTTCCATGAAGTTTGCCCTGTCTCCATTCTTATGCTCCAGTACATTTATCCCTTTGAGGTTCAATGATGTCATTGTGTGGTGTTTATTATTCTCCGTTTGACCGGAGTTATCATCTTTGAGATGATGCCTAGCTTTCTTTTTCTTACCGATTTCATAAGTTGGACATATTTAAACAAATCGCGACGGTTGTTAGTAGAGTGAACAAAGCGTAAACTAGTCCTAAGCTTTACGCTGGTGAATTTCATACGTTAAGATTCTTAAGGATGTCCTTAGAAGATGTTTCCCCTATGAGAAATCCTTGTCTTTTTGTTAAATTTCATCGTTTCAAGCTTTGATCCCTTTTTGTCTTCTCAAAATTTTGTAGTTGATGAATTTTATCCCGCTTTATGTTATTCGTAATTTTGTAGTTGTTCTAAAAAGAATATCTTTTTTAATAACTCCCACGACCGACTTTCTATTAACCTCGGCATTGATCAAGTAATTCTTCGTATTTTTGTTGAGCAAACGCGAGGTGTTACTATTCTTTGTTCACGAATGAGCTGACGTTTCGGCGGATTTCGCCTTCCTCAGAGCCGCTTTCTATGAGGTCTCCACTAAGTATGTCACGTAGAGACCAACTGCACAGAAATCACATGGAAGTATAATGTCAGACGTGAATAAAGAATAATAACACCTCGCGTTTGCTCAACAAAAATACGAAGAATATCTTTTTTAGTTATTTACTGTAGAATTTTGCATTCTGAACGAAATATTTACATTAGTCTGATCCTATTCAGTTGCATCAACCAAAATAAGAGCAACAATAATCAGGGCTCTTGCTAACTCTCTTTCTTCTGCCTGTTGATTTGAAAATTTCGCGCTCACTTGTTAGGCTTTTTCAACTTTCCGGTTCAGTTGAAACGTTTTCGAACTGCTGTTTATTTACACTTACTTGAATGGTCCATTTTTGCGAAGAATCACACAGGCTCTAACACATTCAGATTTGACTGGTGGTTTGAAACCACTTCTTTACCGTCTGGGTAAGATTTTCATTCCTTAAAGACTCGATATCGCCGTGCTAATGCTTTCGCTGATGATCACGGCAGTGAGACGTCGGCTTTTATGAAGTGATGGGAGGTTTGTCATTTTACAACTGAGTTGGTGTACGGGTCTTTTTTGATTTTTCTTATGGGTTCACTCTTTGTTGGGCATCCGGACCCAATTGTCAAACTCCGCAGTTCGCGGTACCCTTCTTGGGAGGGGAAGCTTCGCTGCACATTTTAGTTGATAACCAAGAACACCCTAAGCTAGGATTGCACAGCATATTACTCATAAAAACTGTTCTTAATTATATTTAGTTCTTTCGCATGTTGTCAAGCCGCTATCTGTCTGTCAGCTTTTGTTAACGTTGTCGAGTATTCATTATCAGTGGCATCGAGTCGTTCCCGACGAATCCTTTCTTAAAGACTGACTTTCTTAACCTTTTTATTTACTGCCTATTCTTTTTAACGGCAGGGTATGTTGCGAAATATAACTTCTATAATGCTGAGATATTTGCAAAACTGAGGACCGCAGGTGTTTGTGATGGGGAACGAACGCGCTATTGTCCTTTCCGGGTAGTGGCGCGTTCACCACTACACCATGTGGGTCTACAATTTACACATAATTTTCACGCTAATGACAATTTACCTTCAAACCCTACTAGCGGTTATTCATCAAATGAAATGGTACAGCTCAAATTTCATATTATAAGAAGAATTCTAGGAGTAATTTTTCATAACGATGCGTCAGATAAATTGTTTAGGTCAGCAAAGTTTTTTTGTTTGAGAGTTTGTTTCTTAACAAATGCTGGAAATCAGGGGTTTTCGTTAGAATTGGCGCCATCTCGATGATTCAAGGTAGCATTTTTTAAAGAAAACAAACCTAAGACAAACCATTTAAGGGATCGAATACATCTATAACAGAATGACAGAGAAGCAGATCTCCAAGTTTTTTTAAAAACTGTAAAGCGAATATTCAGCTATTCAATGCGTTCGGTAATTATCTGCGCTTTGGCAGGTGTCTGAGGTCCGGACATTTGCAAATATCTCAGCATTATAGAAGTTATATTTCGCAACATACCTTGCAGTTAAAAAGAATAGGCAGTAGACAGACTAATAGAAAGGTTAAAATTGTGATTATAACTATAGCCTCAGCTTAACTGGGTTCAATGTCTATTTGGGCTTTTCAGATCAATCCCGCTGACGGGTGATTGCCGATGGCAAAAGATCGATAGAACTAGCCGAGAGACAGGCGAAACGAAGGACTCGCATGGTGTGGTGGTGAACCGCGTTACTTCCCGGAACCGGAAAAGACAATAGCGCGTTCGTTCCCCACCGCAAGCACCTGCGGTCCGGAGTTTTGCAAATATCTCAGCATTATAATAGTTA